TTCTGTAATGTAATTATAGTTAGGATATTCTATCTTACCCAAGTGTCTTCTGTAATGTAATTATAGCTAGGATATTCTATCTTACCCAAGTGTCTTCTGTAATGTAATTATAACTAGGATATTCTATCTTACCCAAGTGTCTTCTATGATGCAACAATAAGTATATAGTCTATTTTGCTTAAATACCTTACACCAAAGTCTTTACATTTTAACTTGATATTAATAATAATGGTTTTCTTTATTTCTTCTTTCTTTAAATATCTACTTACACGAACATTTAGGTGGCCGTAATTTGACTTACCCATGTATAACCAGTGCATCACAAAATGTAATATCAATATTTTGTAAAGTATTAATATTTAATTGCCTCTTTCTCTATACGTCCAGGCCATACGTATGTAATATTATCTGTATCTCTCTTGGTTTTAAACATAATTATCTAGTTAACTACTTAAATGAATCCATATATTTTATCTGTTCTATTAAATAAACACGATATTGTGTACTTATATAGACATGTCACTTGGATGCTATGTTGAAATATATCCTTATCCTCTCTTCTCCAGAAATCAATGAACTGGAACCCAGTGGTCATTTGGACTTTTACCCTAACGGGGGCAGGAGGCCCCATGGTTGTAGCCACCCTCTTGGTGAACACCATTCACACCACGACATTGGTTAGATGTTTATATACATTTATTAATTTCTAGTAACTTTATAAGAAGTTCACGTCAACGCGACTGTTATTCTACAGTTTAGTGCCAGGATTGTTACTTATTTGGAACTTAACGGTTAACAAAGTGTATCTAATGTTGATACCGAAGCCAATTAAGAATACGTTGAGATGCTTGAAAAGACTCGAAGTTCCTAGTTTATGTTCTTGTCACTATAATACCTAATCGTTGGTACATTGCTGGTTTATTTTCTATTAAAATAAGGGCTAAGCTTGTGAGGTTTTCGTAGGGTGAAATGTAACAAAACGCGATAGTTAAATTAGTGTTACTGTGTCTGAGATAAAAAAAAATGGTGGTTAGGGGCGCTCGACTCGCAATCTGCGGGTCGCGTGTTCGAATCCCCGTCCCACCCAAACATGCTCGCCCTTTCAGCCGTGGGGGCGTTATAATGTGACGATCAATCCCACTGTTCGTTGGTAAAATAGTAGCCCAAGAGTTGGCGGTGGGTGGTGATGACTAGCTGCCTACCCTCTACTCTTACACTGCTAAATTAGGGACGGCTAGCGCAGATAGCCCTCGTGTAGCTTTGCGCGAAATTCAAAAGAAAACAAACAATCTGAGAGAAAACTCGTGTTTTTTTTTATTGTTGTTCTTGTTTTTTCATCCATGTCTATTTCAGGATGTGAAATCGTTCCTTCCTGGCAGTTATACATCGAGTCCATCAACACTGACTGTCCCTTCTTTGGCTATGTGTGCGACAATTTCCGAAACTTTTCAGCTGCGAAGTGTGTAGACGGTTGCGGTGATGGCTCACTGTGTGCACCCCTCGGGCACAGAGCTAACGAATGGCAGCAGTACAAGAAGGCGGAATCTGTAAAGATGTATCTCTTTGCTGGCCATAGCACACCAGCTTGCCGTAAGTAAAGTTACACGAACATTATTACACAATCTGTTTCCGAAACTTTCCTAAAAATTATAAACTTCTGATTACACCTGAGCTAATGAAAAATGATAATAATTAAAGAAACGCTTTACTGGTTTCCATTAGTTGTCTGACATTGATATCGCATTTACGCATTCATAAGACCAAAAACCAAAGTTTAACTGAAACAGACGTTTACTTGCTACAAGGCCTGACGAAAGACAGTCACATGAAACTTTGTAAACATTAGAATATAAAGACGCTGGTGGTTAGGGCGCTCTACTCGCAATCTGCGGGTCGCGGGTTCGAATCCCCGTCCCACCAAACATGCTCGCCCTCTCAGCCGTGGGGGCGTTATAATGTGACGGTGAATCCCACTATTCGTTGGT